TCAGGGAGCCTGGGCAGCTTCCCTCCTGGGCAGGGTCTGCACAGTGCCCTGGCTCTGCTGCCCACACACAGACCCAGAGGCCCGGGAGACCCAGACCCCACGTGTGCGCCTACCCTCTGCATGTTGACAGCATTTGTCCCCAGATGCTCCTAGGTGACACACATTTCCCATTGAAAGGAGGCTCTGCGAGTCCTTTCACCTTGGAGACGCCACGGCAAACTGGCCTGTGTTTGTCTGAATTTGCTGGAGTTTACACTTCTTCCTTTGGTGGGAGTCAAAGTAGAACTTTGGGGTGAGAAAATATAGCTAGCAAAGGCCCTTCACCCTCCGCAGCCCCAGGATTCTGAGCATGTGACTTCCTGACCCTTTGCTGATTTGAATGGTGGGGTGGGATGGACTTCTGATCATGTACAAGTTTGGTCATTTTCTATTTCCTTATTACATCTTTGTATTCTTCCTTGAATCGTCAGTTTCTTTCCTTTTACAACTTTTTCTGGTAATGTTTTATGTGGACTGTGTGTTTTTTGGGTACCAGGGATTGAACCCAGGAGCACTCAACCACTGAACGACATCCCCAGCCCATTTTTCTTTTTTATTTAGAGACAGGGTCTCACTAATTTACTTAAAACCTCACTAAGTTGCTGAGGCTGGCATTGAATTTGGGATCCTCCTGCCTCAGCCTCCCAAGTTGCTGGGAATACAGGTGTGATCAGTGTGCCCAGATGGGCTGTATAAGTCTTTGTTACCAAACTTAGGTTCGGAAGCTTGCTTCCCAGACAAACCAAGGCCCAAGGGAGGAGTGTTGGGGAGAAAGAAAGTGTGCGGCATTGAGGGTGCTAGCAGTCTTGAAGGAGACAGTCATTTTAATGTCTCAAGTTCCCCTTCCAGGTCTTTGGGGACGTGAGATGTCTCCATGAGGATCAGGTTGGGGGCCACCTGAAGGATGTGGTTTCCCAGGAGCTGACCTTGGGCAGCCTGGTGTATAGGTGCCTACTATGGGTGGGAACTCCTTGTGGCCACCTTCTTGTAGGGCAGCATGTTCCAATTTGGGGTCAGATTTGTGGTAAACAACTGTTTTTTGGAATTAGCTCAGGAAAAACCAAGCCAGCCAGGCATAGTGGTGCACACCTGTGGTCCTAGCAACCTGAGAGGCGGAGGCAGGAGGACTGCAACTCAAGACCAGCCTGGCAGTGTCGCAAGACTCTGTCTCCAAATAAAAATCTAAAAAGGTCTAAGAGTGTGGCTCAGCAGTAAAGCACCCGATTCCACCCCCAGTAACACAAAAGCCAAGTGAGGTCACAGGATGAGAGTGAAGGCCATACCTGGTGTGGGGAAGGGAACAGCCTCTGTCCTGTGCACTCCTCAGCCTGAGGCCGAGGCCCAGGACCTGGCAGCTCCCTGCTGGACGGGGTGCAGGTCTGGGCGGGAAAGACCCACCTGCAAACCACAGGCTGTTTGGTCAGCAGGTGACTAGAACTGGCAGCCACCTGGTGGCTGTGCAGGTGGTGAGTGCCACCCTGAAAGGAGTCAAGAACGCGGAAGGTGCAGCCACACACTCTGAGGAGCATGGAGAAGCCAGAGACGCAGCCACACGTCACATCAGGCTACTCTCGTTCCAAACGGTTCCATGGGAAAGGACCACTGGGAAAAAAAAAAAAAACTACTTCTGCCAGACACAGTGGCACACCCTGAAATCCCAGTGGCTCGGGAGGCTGAAGCAGGAGGATTGTGAATTCAAAGCCAGCCTCAGCAATGGCGAGGTGCTAAGCAACTCAGTGAGATCCTGTCTCTAAATAAATTATACACACAAAAAAAGGGCTGGGGGAGTGGCTCGGTGGTTGAGTGCCCCTGAGTTCAATCCCCAGTATCAAAAACAAACAAACAAAACAAAACAGCTGGGCGTGGCAGTGCACACCTGCCATCCCAGTAGCTCAGGAGGCCAAGGCAGGAGGATCACAAGTCCAAGGCCAGCCTGGACAACTTAGGGAGACCCTGTCTCAAAATAAAAAGTAACAGCAGCTGGGGTTGCCGCTCAGTGGTGAAGCACCCCTGGTTTAATCCCCAGTGCTGAAGCCGGCCAAACACCATCCCTGGGGGCAGCGGTGTGCCTACATCAAGGGCCCTGGTCAGAGCTGTAGGCTCTGCTGTGTGTGGAGTCTGGTGACTTGGCTTCTGCTCCTAGTTCTGCTCCCGTGACTGGCACAGACCTGGCTTTGCCCCACACATGGTCCACTTGTGAACACCTTGAGATCTGGTTTTCCACCGGCAGGCCCTCACCTGGCCTGGCTCACTGCAGGCCTGGGCTCTACTGGGGAAGGGGACGGGCTCTACTGGGGAAGGGGACAGGCAGTAAGTGGGTCATCAAGGCATCTGGGGCGGGCCCAGGAAGGAGGCGTGCAGGGGCCTGCAGCACCCCGGCCAGCCCATCCCACTGTCATGCGACAGTCTGTGCAGATCTGCTTTCCCCTGAATCACCATGTATGACCTCTCTTCATTTTGAGGTGCTCACAGAGGATGGGCACAGGTGGGTAGAAGGGAGTCTGCCTGGGCAGAGCCTGGAGAGGGTCAGGCCTTCACGGGCACCTTGAGACTTGCCTGGTTGTGGAGCTACTGTAAAGGGACTTTGCAAAGACTTTCAAAGGGGGCAGAACTTCAGACTGGGGCCAGGTGGCATACCCAGGGGTGTGGGCAGTGGGTCTGCTTGGGCCTGTCCCTGTCTGGACTTGGCATTGATTGGGGCTGCAATGCCCACACTTCCCTGGTTCTGGGGATGCCCCTGGCCAGGGCTGTCAGGGTACAGTGTTGGGCCTGGAGGGAGGGACAGGCAGGGGACAGGAGCCAGTTGACTATTCGTCAGCAAGATGAGGCTGGGCCTGGGCTGCCTAGCTGTGGGGTGCAGAGGCCCCCAGGGTTTCCGAGCCCTGCTGGGCCTTCCTGAGTGTTCCCACCCAGGCTGCGGGTCCAGGTGAGGCCTGGGGACACTTGGGTGGATGGACACTGTCCTTGGGCATCCAGGTGCTGAGGGCCCAGGGTGGTCCCAGCTGTCATCCTGGTTGACCCTGCTGACCGGGTCCTGCGGGCCTGAGCCTGCAGCCCTTCCCACCAACAGGTGGGCATCAGGTGGGAAAACCGAGGCTGCAGGTCTTTCCAGGTCATTCTGTGGCCAGGCTGCACTCCTCCCACCCCTGGCCTGTGGCTGACTGGGCGGCCAGCTGTCCCCCGAGGCTGTGTGTCTGTTTCTGTTGCTGGTAACATGCCCAGAGTCTGGGAAGCTGTGGAGAGGTTTATTTTGGCTCATAGTTCTGGCCCAAGGTCAAGAGGCTGTCCCTGGTGGGTGCCTGTCTGTGGGCAGGGTCCTGGAGCACCGTGTGGTGAGAGGGAGCACGTGTGCTCACCGGGTGCTCATCTGGTCTGTCCCTCTTCTCCTAAAGTCACTGGGATCCAAACTGGGGCCACATCCTGCTGACCCTGTCTTGGCCTTGACCCACAGTCACAGTAAGTCGCTTGCACAGACACCCCACAGCGGGGACTGCGCTGCAGCCTGCGAAGCCTGGGGACACTCAGCCATGCCACGCCCCATCGGCGTCTCTGCTCGTCTCCTTCTGAGTCTGTCCCTTGGTGTCTCTGTGTCCCGGGTTTCTGTCTGTCAGCTCTCACTTTCCTGCCAGCTGTGTGGACCGGCTGGGACTGGATTCTGGCTCTCAGGACCTGCTGGTGGAAGTGGAGCTACTGGCCAGGGATGCAGTGTCCTGAGGCAGCCCTTCCCCCGGTCCTGTTCTCACTGGGCTCTGAAGGGTGGGCAGTCCTCGGGGCTGGTCCTGGCCAGCCCTCCTCTGCAGGTCTGCACCTGCTAGTGGAGGCTTCTGGGAACGGTGTCTTCAGCATCCTCCCCTGGTGGCCTCAGTTTACCCACTGGTAAACGCTATTTCCAGATTGTGAAGGCCACTGGGCTCTGGTCTGGGTACTTCTAGGGGCTGAATGTGGTCAAAGTGGTAAAAAGCCTTCCACCTGGCGAGCGGCCAGTTGCTGCCAGTCTGTTCCTGACCTCTCTTCCATCTTCCCTGGCATCCTGCCTTCTGCGTCCCTTGACGGCTGCCAGTCAGACTTGGCCCTGGCACACCCAGACCCACAGGGGCCATGCCAGTCTGTGCACTACTCCTGGGGGGGTTAACAGCAGCCTTGGGCCTGGCCAGGCCACCTGCTGGGGTCCAGAGCTCAAGGCACTGTCTGCTGAGACACTGGAGGCTGTTGCCTGAGGCTGCCCGGGGCCCGGGGCCTGAGCCCACCAGCAAGGCCCACAGGCTGTCTGGGGCCTCTGCCCACCCAGGCAGGAAGGTTAAGGCCCCGAGGTCAAAGGCCTTTGCTGGGGAGCAGGATCCTGGGGTGGGAACCCAACCACTGGCGAGCCTTCCCTCTGCAGGGCTTACTCCCTGCCTCCGAGTGCTGGTGGCCACAAAGGCCTGCAGGCCTGGGGCAGGGCAGCACCTGCCTCACTGTGGTCAGTGGCACCTGGGGCCTCTGCAGCACTGAACCCGTGACCCGTGCTCTTAGGCCACAGCCAGCCTGCTTCCCAGAGCCACCGGGCAGCGAGGTACTAGGTACCTGTACCTGTCCCAGCAGCAGTGGCCATCACAGAGGTCCACTCCTCCATATTTCCAGAGAGCCAGTGGGAGGCTGAGCTGGCCTGCAAGGGTGGGTGTGAAGGGGCCGACAGCTGGACCCACTGATGGTGCTGCCACGGCTGCTCTACCCTGAGCGCACTGCTGACCACTGATTGCTTACCTGCACCCACTTGGTCCCAGGACTGGGCTCCCTCCTGGCTGTATGCACAGCCAGGCTGGGGGACAGCCCGGGGGCAGCATCCAGCACAGGGAGGCCCTGGATAGGGCTGACGGGGGGGCGGCCCCCACCCACGAGGGAGGTGCTGGGGATCCTGCTCGATGTCCCAGAGTCCTTAACTGGTTGCCAAAAGCCAAAGAGAGGCTGTTGCTCAGCCCAGCTGTTTTAAACAAGTCTGTTTATTGAAAGGATTTGAAAATAGCAGTAAGGCCTTCAGCAAGGAACACGTGTCAAGACACCAACAACAGGAGACGACGTGACTTCGCTTCCCAACTCCCCAGTGCGCTCGCTGGCCACAGGTGGCTTCAGACCAGCCCACCTGGGGGGCGAGCTCCACAAGTGGGCTGCCTCCCTGGGGCCCCCAGCCCCACCCTGGCTTGTGTCCCCCGCCCAGGCCATACCAGGTTCCCGGGGTGGAGGAGAGGAGGTAAGGGACACACGGAAGAGGTGCTTGTGCTCGAGCAGGCCCGGAGGCCCTTCTGCCCAACGCGAGGCCTGCGAGGCCGCCTGCGGCAGGATGGGCACCTTCCCTTGGAAGGCACCGCCTCCCGTTCTGGCCAGTCAACAGGTGAAGGGGAGCTGGCGCCTCCAGACACGAGGCCCCCCCCCCCCCCACACCTTGGCACGGCCCAGGGCCCCGGGGCTGCCACTCCTGCTCTGCTTCAAACAGGCCTCGCGGTCCCCGCATTAGGAAATCATCTCAGAACCCTCACAGTGGCCTCAGAACCAGGGGGCCCCACCCTGAGAAGCAGCGACTCCTCTCCTGGACCCTGGACCATTAGCGCGGGGCTGGACACAATGTAAACACTGGACTACAGGACGGTCCCCCTCTAAATCTACACAAAAGTGTGTACAAGAAAATATGTACATAAGCACTTGAGAAAGTTCAGAAGAGTCTCTAGGGTTAAAACACCTTCCGGGAGCTGCCGCACCGCTCTGCTGCAGGAGGTTCAGAGCGGACCCTGGGGGGCGTGTGGCTACCCCAGAAGCCAGGACAGCAGAGCCGCTGGTGGCCCTGAGCCCCAGAAGCACAGGGCGGAGGGGAGAAGCATCGCACCTGAAGGAGACTCTGGGCTGAGGCATTTATTTCAACACGGAAGGACAGATCAATCCTCTCCGACCCTCTGAATTTCAAGACTGATTTATGGAAAGTTCCCGACCTGGAATCGCAAGAGCCTTGCTGGGGGCTGCAGGGCGCCCAGCACGGCTCTCACTGTACTTTAGAAATGAAAAAGAGTCAGATTAGAAAAGGTAAAAAGCTGATCTGGTCGGCAAAAGGCAGACCGGGCTCCCCTGCTGCAGGCGGCAGGTGGGACGCGGTGGGATGTGGTAGGACAGCGAGGCCGGGCGCTGCCCGGTGCTGCTAGCTGTCCTCCCCGTCCTCTTCATCCTCTGCGAAGTGGGCTTGTTTCTTCCTCACGTTCCAGTGCAGACACTGGGCCAGGCTCTCGAACCAGTCGCTCACCGGGTCTCGCACACAGATGGAGGGCAGCGGGTAGCGGGAGGTGGTGATGGTGATGCTGCCCGGGGTAGGCGCACGGTGAGCCCCGCCCACTCCAGCAGCACTGGGCCTAGCACCCAAGAGAGAGGCTGCGCAGACCCTCACCAGCCTCCTGGCCCGTCCCAGTCCTGGCTGACGGGCCTCCCCATGCTGGACAGCCCACCCAGGAGGTGGCCTGAGGGGCGAGATGCCCTGGAGGACCCAGCGGCTGCCTGAGATGGTGCAGCTGTGGACCTGTCACCCTAGCTGTGCGGAGGGACGCCCAGGCTTGCTGAAGGTCCTCTGCTGCACCATGTGGCCACCCTGCCACAGGCCGCGGTCAGTCAGGCCCCAGCCCACACACACCTGTCTCCGTGGCGGATCTCCTGCCGCTTCCGTCCATCCAAGGATACCCATGCAGTGTTCCTAGCTTCTGGTGACAGCATGATCTGAAGAGATTGAGAAGGGACAAGAAGAGTAGGCCTGGCCGTGAGCTCCCAGTGCCTCCTGCAGATACAGCCTCTCTGCCACAAGGCACCTCACGGGTGTCTGGGGCTGGGGACCAGGAGGCCAAAGCCAGGCAGGGACCTGTGGTAGGGACTCCTAGAAGGGTCTTTCCTCACCCGGAGCCACTTTGGCCACCCCCACTCAACAGGGCCCTTCCCAATGCAGCTGGGTGCCCCGTGGGAGGCTGGCCCACTCTCCCTGCTGCCAGGGACAGAGACAGGGACAGGTGTGGGCCCTCTCCCCTGAGGCCCAGGTCTCTCAGGCCCATATGAGCCCCAGCAAGGTGGGACTGGCCTCCCAAGAGGCACCAGCCAGCCTGGATCCTGAGGCCATGGCCTCATGGTCAGCTCCATGGTCAGCACCGTGGGGGGGGGGGGGCAAGGCTATAGAGGCAGCTGGTATACCAGGGGCAGAGGGGTGCTTGCCCTGACCTTCAGCTCAACTCCTGCAGGGACCACGATGGGCCGGAAGGACAGTGAGTGTGGGCAGATGGGTGTGAGCATGATAGCCGGCACGTTGGGGTGGATCATGGAGGCTCCCGCTGCCGCTGCGTACGCTGTGCTGCCGGTCGGGGTGGACACGATGACTCCTGCAGGAACAGGGTGCGGGTTTGCTGTCCAGCCTCACAGCCCCTCAGGACGCAGGGGGCGCGCAGCCTTACCATCGCCCTGCACTGTGGTGATGAGGTGTCCGTCCAGGTAGACATCCACGTTGGACAGGTATGAGGAGGGGCCTCTGTCAATTACGACTTCGTTCAAGACCTGGAGGGGACAGTGGGGCCACTGCACTCAAGGAGGATGCCAGGGCCTGGGTTGCGGCGCACCACCGGTGCCTGAACCCTGAAGTCCAGCCTCAATCATCCCCGACCACTCCCCCGGAATATAGGACAGGAAGGGACAAGGCCAGATCAGCAGGGGCATCCACAGACCTGATACTGCATGGCCTGCTTCCCAAGCTCGGTGTCCAGGCCGGGGGCTGGCAGGCCATTTTCACTGAGTCCATTGTGGACGGTCATCTTCTTGCCTCTGAGCTCCTTCACCACCCTGACCTTCAGCCGGCTCCGAAGAACAATAGCTGCATTCCCTGGGGGCAGTGGGGTCAGCAGGGCCCTGCCCAGGGAGTAGGGGTCCACCCGAGGGCGCAAAGACCCTCCCTTTCTGCCCCTCAGAGCCTTGGTGGAGCCAGACCCCTCTGCAGAGCACCCCCAGCACTCCAGCCCGTGAGGCCCCTGAGGCTGCCCGGGGTCAGGGACTCTCAGTGGTGCTCCGCAGGGTTGCGAAAAGGGCAAAAAGGAAAAAAAAAAAAAAAACAAGCGGGCGAGCGGGCGTCCCCACCCCCAGGCCACCTCGCCTCACCTTCTATCACCTGAGTCACTTGGGACTGAAAGTTCTCAAAGTTGAAGGGAGTCAGAAAGCCCAGGGAGCCCAGGTGGAAGGCCATGACTGGAGGCACACTGCCCTGTGGAGAGGAAGGTGGGCGCTGAGTCCAGCCTGCACCACAGACACAGCCGCGCTGCAGCAGATGGCCGGGCCTTGGGGACTCAGCCCTGTCCCCAGGCTGCCTGCACTCCAGAGACAGCACAGTGTAGCTGTGGGGCAGGTGGAGAACTGGACCAAACTGGAAGTGGGGGTGGTCAGGAGAGGGGCCCTGGATGTGGGGGGTGCTCAGGGGAGTGAGTGGTCCTGAGACACATGGGCAGTCTTCCAGGGAGCGGTCACCGCTAGCCCTGGTGGCTGGGAATGCTGATAAGAAAAACAAGACCAAGCAGCTCTCTGGTCACAGAACAGGAAAGAACTGGGCGGTGCCGGCCACAGGGCTCTGACATGGGAGACCAGGCCCCGCAGGCTCTGGAGGGTGAGGAGACCTGGCAGCCGCCTGGGGTGGCGGCAGGGCAGCGTGGGGGTTGTTTTGACAGCCCCTACACATAATGGGGTGAGCCGAAGCCATGGTCCCCACAACAGGGCAGCCTGTGGCCCTGGAGAGGCCCACCTCTGATGTAGGATGGGACCACTCCCTTCTGTCCCAGACCTCTCTGTGCCCCTTACTCTCATCCCCAGCAAGTTTCTGGGCTCCTCACTGGCATCCAGGAGGCTGCCCTGCCCACGTCCAGGCTGCTCTCCACAGGCCTCCTCGCCTGAACTGCCAGAGGCTGCCAGAGGGCTGGGTCCTGCCTGGCATGGGGTGAGGCCCAAGGGCTCTAGTTGGCCCCTGGCCTCCTTGCACCACATCCCCCTAGCTGTCCTGATGCCCTGGCCACACCAGCTGTCCCCAAGGTTGTCCCATCTGGACCTGCAGCCGCCCTGGGCACTGTCTCCCACCAATGTCCCTTCCTGCCAGCCGGCCTAGGCAGTCCCGGGCCCCGGCCTTGCCGAGTACCAGCAGCTGTGCTGCTTGCACTACTGCTAACAACGACCTGGAGAACACTGGTGTCCCCAGGGTAGGCAGGCAGAGCAGCTCGCCACCCCGGGCCAGCTCTCACCCGGGGGATCTACGCCCACACCCAGCTCACCTGGAAGAGCGACGAGGCGTAAAGCAGGGTCCCGTCTCCCCCCAGGCAGATGATGAAGTCAATCTGGTTGGAAATGTCGTCATAATCTGGAAGCAGACAGAACCAAGCAGCAGCGGTCAGAGCCTCTGGGTACCCACGTGCCCAGAGCAGACAGCAAGGGGACGGCTGGGGGAGGGGGCTGCAGCACACCTTCCCGGAACGTGCAGAACTTCTTCTTCACAGGCCCAAAGTTGTCGTCGCAAGCTATGGCAGGGTCTTCCAGCACCTTCTTTTCCACGTACACGATCATGTTGTTCTCCTAGAGGTGGGACGTGAGGCGGAGCACGCGCCTTAGCCCACCGTGTGCTCAGCCCGGACCATGCTGCTCCTTCCCCACTCTTGCAGGCCAGGCAGGCTGGGACCAGGTGGGAAGGGTGGCGAGCCACTTCCTGCCTGCATGCTTCTCCCTCGCGCAAGGCCTCAGCGCCTTCTGCTCCAGTGGCTCTGGAACCAGGCACCCTGTGCCCTGTCCCCAGGACTCGAGGATAGAGGCTCACCCCCACTCAGGCACCAGGAGGAAACTGAGCTCCGCGGTGCTACTCATAGGAGGGGCCTCTGGAGGGGATCTGGGTCAGCAGCCAGCAGGGCAGAGCCTCTGGCTGAATCATGGTGGCTCTGAGGGACAGAGACCACATGTGTGTGTGCTGCCTCTTGCCACATGGTGCCCTGGGTCACCTTGGGACTTGGCCAGCAAGACAGCCATCGCCAGATGTGGCCCTTGACAGTGCATCTCCAGAACCGTGAACCAAAATAAGGCTCTTTGGTTAAAACTGACCCGGGGCCCCCCAGCTCCGAAGCCCGACCTCCCACACTGCAGCAGCCCTGGGGAGGCAGGACAGAGGAGCACTGGAGTGGTGGGGCGAGGAGGGTGCCACCCTCTGGGCAGTGGCTCTCCTGCCTCTCTGTGCGCCCTCCTGCCTTCCCTCTGCCATCTGAGGGTGAGCAGGCACAACCCTCTAGCTTGGACTCCCTGGCCTCGGACCCTTCTCCACAGAGCTCCCTGTCTGTGGCGTTCTGTGGGACAGACGCCTCAGGAGCCGTGCAGAGGCCGTGGGCCCCCAGCTCCAGGGTCCCCTACTCGCGCCTGCTGCCCACAGCTGGGATGCCAGCGTGCACAGGAGCCTCCTCGGGCCGACTTGCCTCCATGAGGTACACGCACAGCTCTTTGAAGGGCTGCAGCAGGCTGGCGTCCCGGATCTTCTTGATGACAAGCACACTCTTTGGAGACTTGTTCCATGTCAACCTCTGGCTCGCAGGGTCCTGAATGTGCCTGGCGGGAGGAGAGTAAGTTAGCAGGCACTGGCCCTGGAGGAGGAGGCCCTGAGAGGGGCTGCGCCTCTTGGACACACTGCACAGTGGTTGTGGGAGCCTGGCACAGATGCCAGCACCAGGGCACAGCAGAGCTACTCTCTCGGTTGCCGTAGACCCAAAGACCCTGCCTCGCCCTGCCTGCTACCTGCAGGGCTCAGCCAGGTCCCTTCAGGCACCCACCACTCACCTTTGCAGACCTGTGCACAGAACCCATGAAGAAAAGAGGCCAGGAAACCAGGAAAGCCCTCGGCCCCACCCAGTCGGCTGGGATCCTACCCATTCCTGGGCCTGGCCCCAAGGACACAGCGGTGCTTCCTGCACAGCCATGGGGAGTGTCTGTGCTGCTCTGGGACACCCCAGGTGAGTGGGCTGGCCCTTGTAGTCACAGTAAAGGCTGCTTGCTCACAAGGTGGCGGCAGCCCTGCTTGCCCAGTGCCCACGGCCCTCTACTCTGCTGCCTGCAGCGCACCAGCTCGACCCCTCACACGGCATGCTGAGGGGCAGGTGGGGTCCTCCAGAGGCAGGGCCACCCAGCAGGCCCTTCTATAACTCAGCAGTCCCAGGAACCGCCCAGGTCTACAGTGCCTGGGGCACATGTGGACTGTATGTGCCACAGAGCCAGCTGCAGATGGTAGGCATGACAGGCAGCTGGCACTTTCCCTGGCGCCATACTGCCTGCCTCAGCCCCTTTCCAGCAGGTCCCTCATGGGGCAGCGAGAGCCCACCACAGAGCCTCAAGCCAGGCTGCGCAGCACCAACCACAGCAGCAGTGCCTGGCCTTGTCCTGTTACTGCTGGGAGACGAGGGGCGGCTCATGGCACCCTCTCTTAGCCTCCCCATCTGCCCGCACCTCTCTTGCAGCTGCGAGGTGACCTCCACCCTCCAGGGGGCAGCCTGCATATCCACAGCATCTTGGTTCCGCCTGCTGCGGGCGGGTGTGCAGCAGCAGCCCCTCACCGCCAGCTCCACATGCCCTCGCCCCACGGCCAGCTCTGCACGCTCCAAGCTGAAGGCAAAAGGCAGCTCGCAGGACTCACGTCTTCAGGGCGACTCAGAGAGCTTCCCAACAGGACGAGAATCAAGACAGCGGGTGGCTTTCTTGCTGTTCTCGCTCCTCCATCCACGTAAGAGGCCCACTCTACCTGTTCCTAGCGGAGTGCCATGGCCGCCAGCCTGCCCAGCTCGGCCTCGGCTGCAGCTGCAGCCTGTGCAACTGGCCAGGCCTGCTCGTGGGCCACGGGCGGGTGAGAGGCTGTCGGGTGAGAGGCTCCAGGAGGGAGTGTGGGATGCTCACAGCCCTCTGCCCTGTCAGGTGGCGAGAGCCCTGCTCCGCACGTGGCCGCCCAGCAGGCCTGCTCCTACTGTAGCTGCCCTGGGCAGCCCCATCAAGACTCTTCCAGCCCTGAGGCCTCGCTGGGCCCAGCCCGTGTCGTGCGTGACCAGCAGTGCCATCACACGTGGCCTGGGCACCAAGCCCTCCGCGTGACCGTGAACCAGTCTCTCAACTTCCTGCTGGGTCATCTGCACAGCGGGGTGCCGACCCTCCCAGGCCCACAGGTGCAGGTGTGGTGTGCAGCCCCAGCCCTGCCTGCTTCGAGTCCACACAGGGCAGGGTGCAATCCCAACCACTGGGCAGAGGGGCTGGGGAGCAAACGTGGGCTCAGAACCATCTTCCCAGTCCACACTGTACAAGAACAGCTCCTGGAAAGCACTGTGGGGTGATGCCAGGGCCCCGGGGACCTGCAGTTCCCTCATGGACAGGAAGGTGACAGCACCGTCACAGGGATCCGCACTGCCAGGCCACTCAAGTCTGTAAAGCAGCTCCTCAAACAAGCTGAAGGTGACAGGTCCATACTTCTGCTGTCCCCACGCTGGAGTTCCAGGAGGTGGGCCAGGTGTCTCACCCAGGTGGCACTGCAGCGCCGAGCCGGCAGGCACAGTGCAGCCCCGGGGACACCAGAGCTGCCCAGCCAGCCCCTCACCCAGTGCCGTAAAGGTGCAATCAGCTGGCAACTTCCCATCTTCCGCTCTCGAGTCCACCTGCAACCTCCAGGCACAGCACCGCCCTCGACACAGCCACCGGCCCCATGGCAGACCCACACAGCACTGCATGTGACCTAGCCCTGGCGGGACGGAGACCCGAGCGGGGTGCTCCCCAACTCCAGGAGCACAGAGGGCCAAGACGTCCTTGGTGCAGGGCGAAGGTGGGAAGAGCAGAGCTCTGACCCTTTGAGGTCGAAACACTAATGTCAGATCACTTTGGTTTTTCCCTCCCACAAGCCCTACCCGCAGCCAGACCACCACGCAGAGCACAAACACTGGCTTGGTCAACACCACGCAGAGCTGGACTGCGGCGCTGTCACCAGCGGGGTGGGGGACGCTGACTGGCACACTCCCAAGCATGCCTCCTCCAGGGCACGTGGGCCAGCAGCAGAGCTGGCACAGGGAGGAGGGGACCCTGGGCTGGGTGTGGTCCTGTGACAGAGCATATGCCTGGCATGCTGAGCCCCTAGATTTGGACCCAAGCACCAGGAAAGAAAAGGACAAGGCATCCTTCAAACAGCTAAGTCTGACGGAGAGAAGCCAGCTAACACCTTTGCCTTCTATACATATATATACATGATTTAGTTATTGATAGACCTTTATCTTATTTACTTATTTTTATGTGGTGCTGAGAGTCGAACCCAGTGCCTCACACATGCTAGGCAAGAGCTCTACCGCAGAGCCACACCTCCAGCCCCACACCTTTGTATTCTTGAAACGACTGAAGGAAAAGCCAGCATGTTGACACGGGGGCAGCCCATGCCCAGAACTCTCTCTGCTGGAATCAGAAGCGACTTGAGCTTCTCACTGCAACGCCACTCAACCTGACTTCCAAGCTTAAGGCCAGCCTCAGCAACTCAGCAAGGTCCTAAGCAACTTAGCAAGACTGTCTCAAGATAGAAAATAAAAAGGGCTGGTGGTGCAGCTCAGTGGGGCACCCGAGGTTCAACCAACGCCAGCGCGGGCCCAGAGTCCACAGGCTAGGCAGTGCCCAGCTCATCCCCTCCACTTTGCAAAGCCACTAGAGGAGATTGCCACTCAGGGGCTGGGAACTCAGCAGGGCTGGGAGGTACCCGCTCAGCTTCTGAATCGACCAGGAGGATGCGCTTCTCCCCGTAGCACCCCAGGACACACCCCGCCCTGGCCCACACACTTACATGATGGTCTGGGGGTTCTGTAGCACACAGGCCTTTGGTCCAAACGTGGTCACTGGGCAGGGCCCATGGAGAGAGCGTGTCCTCCTGCAGGGGCACAGAGGGCTGCCGTCAGAGCAGTGCGCAGCTGGCGACACGCAGTCACGTCAGACTCCGAGGACACGCACGGCGTGAGCCTGAGCAGCCACCACAGCCTCCAGGGTCAGCCCAGAGGTCCTGCCCCGGCCCAGGCACCGGGCTGAGGTCACAACCAGACACGTCCTGAGAACAAGTGAGTGCCACCTGGAGGACCTGGGCCAGACTGGAACTCCAAGGCACCCTCGTCGCCAAAAAGAATGAGCTCAGCAGCCCAACTTCTGTGGTCCCTGAAAAGGGACTCGGCCAGCTGAACCCTGACAAAGGGCCTGCTCCAGGCCATCACCTGGGGGGCCGCATCTGGGCTCCCCACCTGCCCAGCAATGGTGGGCAGCACCATGACTGCCCTCCTCAGGAGGCTCCCTCCCTGGCCTCCAGGCCTCATAATCCCCTCACGCACCAGAGTGACTGTCACCAAGCCAGGGAACCCGGACCTGCAAGGTTGCTCACCTTCCACTGCCCATCTCGTGACTCCACAAAACTGCCTAGTCCTGATGCAGATAAAAGACCTGCCCTGCCCTGGGCGATGGGCGGCCTACGGGCCATGGAGTCTGGCCAGGCCTATGCTGACACGGAGAGGGGTCACCTGGGTGCCAGGGCCTTTCTGGACTAGGCACTAGGTTTGTCTACAAAAGTCTAAAAATCATGCAGATTATCACACAGAACTCCCGCTGGGAAGGTCAAAGGTTGTTGGAAAGACGGTCCAGTGCCTGCAGAGACTACAGGTGGCCAGGTGGACGTCCACTTTCCCTCTCTGCTCCTCAGAACTGCTGTGTGCCACGCTGCCTCACCCTGGGGACCCCCAAAAGGCTGCCCAGACCCTCACCACTCTCATGGTTCAAAGTCCCGTGGACACAAAAGGTGTGCTGTGCTAAGTCCACGGGAACAGGGGGCAGCCGGCCGTCATCCCAGCCAAAAGGGAGCTGAGGCAGGAGGAGGCAGGTGGGCTGCTCGGTGAGACCCTGTCTCAAAATAAAAACTCGGCAGAGCTGGGTGCATCCCCGGGTGGAGGCCCCACTGCCCTGTTGCTGCACACAGATGCGTGTGCACCCACGGCCACTGGACCCACCCCGGCTGTCCCCTCCCCACCCCACCACCAGAGGCTCGGAAGGCCCCTCAGCTCCCTGAACAGACGTGGGCTTTTTATTTCATAGGGTGCTTTGCCCTACCAGAGCTGGACTGAGACTCCCTCCTCGAGTCGATGGTGCGAGGTACGCAGCTTTGTCAACGTCCCCAGTGCCCAAGCAAGCAGCCTGCTCTGTACCCCACTCTCAAGACGCTGGCTTTGTTTAAGCATCTTAACACCAACATACAAAAACCTGACCTCTCGTGTGACCTCTCCATAGGTGACTCCATCACTCAAGGTCACCCACAGGCTGCAGCACCCAGGGTCCTCCGCCCTGTGGCCTGCGACCCTGGAGAATGCATGCAAAGAGTTGCGCCTCACCCACACCCCAATCCCACACAGCACGGACACTGCTGTAGACCACACTGGTTCCTGGCGGGCTTCTCTATGAAAAGCACCAGAATCACTGTCCCCAGGATTGAGAGCCACACCCCAGGCGCCACTGGAACCCTGTGCTCATCAGGCCGCCTTCCCAAGGCCCTGAGTGCTGCTGTACGGGTGACATTGTACCAGGGCAGGCCACCGCAAAGGGCCCCATGGCCCTGCACCCGAGACCCACGTCCCCGACGTGAGGGGCTGGCCCAGCACAGGAGGCTGGTACCTCGGCCCTGCCCGCCTTCTCTCCCTACGCTGAGCAGGCTCCACCGAGCCGGCACCCCTCAGCATGGGCTCCCGGGTGGCCGTGTGCTGGCGTGGAAAGCAGACAGACACGGCTCAGCTGCAGCGTGGCACTGGACATACCCTGCTCTGCTCTAGGGGCAGCTCCCCTGGGCAACGCCTAGCCCAACCTGTGGCGAGTGTGGACACTGCTTACAAGGACTGTGCAGTGCAGCAGCCACACTGCAGCACCTTCCTGGTCCTACCTGGACTCCTTGGTGCTGCCCAGGGCAGGTGAGGCCGACAGGCTCCGAGACTTGGCACGACCCCGGACAGGGCGGCTGTAGCTCCAGGCCTCGTCCCCATGACATGCTGAGCAGCAGTACGAGGCCGCGTCTGGGCTCAGCTCCTTACTCACACTCATCTTCTCTTGTTCCATTTCCATAGCTGATACACGAGAACTTCTGCCAGAAAAGCAGACGCCTTGATCCAATGAAAGAAAGAGAGTCAGTCGGTGTGAGGTTGCCCTGGGGTGTGTGTGTGTGTGTGTGTGTCTCTCACACGCGCCCCTCCCTCTGCCCCTCCTCTGCCATGTGGGGTGGAGCAGGGCCTGGCGGCGGTGCGCCCACTGTTCTGCCCACACGCTCCTTCCAAGGGAATGAGCGCCAGAAGCCGCTGTACCCAAGTGCTTTGGAAACGGGCTGCTTCCACCCCAAGGGTGTTCAAGAACTCAGGGTCCCACCTGAGGCTTGTGAGTGAACCTAGAGAGCTAAAGCAGAAAAAAATAACCAGTGGGGGCCACAACAGAGCAATGGTGGCTGCATCACAGGGCAGGCCAGGGGCTCAGGGGTGGATGCTGTGCCCTGGGGCAGAGCCCCATGGCCAAGCGGGGATGCCTGAAATGAAAGGCCACGCTGCGGACTGCACAGCATGCCAAGTGGAGAGGAGAAGGCCGAGCCTCGCCTATGACCTCCTGGCCCAGGAAGGCTGTAAGGGCTCCGGCGAGGTCCATGGCAGGCCTACCAAGAGGATGAGCCCGACCAGCATCAGAGCCACAGAGGAAACCCCGGCTCCAGGCAGCAGCGAGGGCAGAGCTCTGCACCTCTGACCACAGCAGCAGGCTCAGGAGAGCAGAGGCCAGGAACTAAGGACAGCAACCTTACCAATCATGATTTCTGGAACTTTCTCCCAACCAGCTCAGGGGTCAAGGCCAAGACAGAACTCACAGGTGCACCATCAGTGGATGAGTGGCAGCAGACACAGCCCCCAGCACCGGCCCCTTAAAGCTGTGCGAGAGCTGCGGAGTGGGAAGTGGCCAGCCACCTGATCTCAGCCAACATGGAGTGAAGCCAGCCAGGAAGGGCCAGTGGCAGGAACTGGCACACAGAAGACAGAAGCCTGTCGTCCCACCACTCGGGCAGGAGGGTGCAAGGTCCAGGCAGCCTGGTCAACTCAGCAAGACCCTGCCTCAAAGCAAAAGACGGAAGGGCAGGAGCTGCAGCTCAGCGGTTCACACCCAAGTCCCATCTCGAGGAAAGAAGACAAGGAGAAGGGGCTCTGGAGAGGAACTGAAGGATGATAAGCACAATCTCCACGGAGCGTCCATCAGGACGCATGCTTCTCCTCAAAGCCACCAGGGGGTCGTGAGAGAAGCCAACGGCGGCCTTGGCGACAGCCCCTGTCCTCTGGAGGCCAGCCTGCCTGGGCAGGACAGCTCAGCGCTTGGCAGACACCCTGAGGCTCGGCACGGGGCAGAGGGGAGAGCAGCCAACAGGGTCCTACAGCTGGCCTCCAGCGGGCAGGAAGCCCTAGACCGCTGGATGGAGGCTGGGCAGAGTAGCCCGGGGTTTGTTCTCCTTACAGAAGAAAATCCAGCCAGCCAGGACGCAGCAGCAGAGGTGCCAGGCAGGCCGAGGACACTGGACTGGACTGGCCTTGCCGGGCCAAGCAGGGCTGTATTTGGGGACGGGGCCTCAGCAGGTGATCAAGGGAAACACCCCATGGGTGGCCTGACCAGGCAGTGTGTCTGCGGGAGGCCTGAGGCCCCACCCTCCACCCTCCACCTGAGATAAGGCCACGTAGGGCCAGGAATGTCAGCCACTGGCGCCAATGCTGGGCGTCAGTCACTGCAGAGCCCAGAACACGCCTCTGTGCTGCTCTGTCTCAGCAGTCCGCGACGCCAAGACACCTGGGGCGCTGGCAAGGGGCAACATCAAGGTTAGAGGTGGGGCAGTCTCTGAGTCCTCGCAGCTGGGCTCTCCTTCTGGGTACATTTTACAATTGCCTGAGGTCCTTCAAAAAAAAAGAAAAAAAATGCCAACTCTTATGTCTCACCTTCTCCAAGGGACCAGGGTGAGCGCACGGCAGGGGCCTCACCTGTTAACAGACAAGGCTAACATGTAGCTAGAGCGGAGAGCACTGCCCTTGTGGTCAATATCCCCCTGAAGTTTACTGAAAATCAGACCTACAAAAACTTGTCGACAGAACCAACGGTGCACTGGAGGCCAGAGCCAGCACAGAACGGCAGGAAGAGGGGCGCAGAGGCGGTAAGCAGGCACGCACCAGACACGGACTTCTCTCTGGAAAGCCACAGAGCATGTACAAGCATCCACAAGACGGCCACACCGAGCAGGTGAGTCTGCCTGCAGGTCTGCAGGAGGCAAACCAACAGGCAGACCAGGAGAGCACCCCATGGACGCAGGAAGAGAGCACCTGGGGTTGAGACACCACCGACCACACAGCAGGCAAACACGAGGCCCCACAGGAGCAGTGGAGGCCCTGGGCACAGCTGGCAGAAACAAAGGGACGGCCAGCGCACCCCATGCCTGCGGCAGAGCCCACACAACAACCACCTACAGACTCCCCCCATCCCGAACCCAAGCAGGGCTCTACACGCTGTGACAGTCAGAGCCTGCTGTTCAAGCGGGAAGGTGAAAGGTCCAGAGTACCTTAAAAACAACTCAGAACAAGACCAAGGTGGAAGTCCAGTGCCATCTGGCGTGTCACGCCTTGCTGTGCAGCTGCGGACGCCAGACACAGCAGGGCTGGCACCAGAGATCTCAGGCAAGGAAAAAGCGGCGAGCCCAGAAATGTACCCCATAACCGCAGTGCATTCTGGGCGGCTGTGCTGGGCCTGAAGCCAGAGACTGGTGCATGCAGAAGCTGGGTCCAATCCCTAGTATCACCAAAGGGAAAAAAAAAGCCAAAAAATATACAAGTCCCAGACAAAGAGTTTGCGAAGCACATTGTGATGAAGGACTTGTTACGTAAGGAACTTCCACGAGGGGCTGGGGATGTGGCTCAAGTGGTAACACGCTCGCCTGGCATGCGCGGGGCGCTGGGTTCCATCCTCAGCACCACATACAAATAACATAAAGATGTTGTGTCCACCGAAAATTAAATATTTAAAAATTCTCTCTCTCTTAAAAAAAAAAAAAAGAACTTCCACAATTCATTAAACAAACCCCCCAAGAAACACGAGCAAAAGATCTGAAGAGACACTTCCCCTGGGAAGGTCAGGCAGGGCAGCAGAAGGCCGGCGGCAGGACCGGGCAGGACCGGGGCCGCACTGCCTTTCCTGCTACTGGTGGCGTGGAACGGCACACAGCCAGTTTGGAAGACAGACTGGCATATGCTAAGCTGTATGTGCTGTTCCCAAACTGGAAACGACCCTCATTTGACTTCTGCTCAAACGCCAGCTCCCAGGGAGCACACCTGCCTCACCACCATCCTTCCCTCTCCTCGGAGCTGACCAAACACACCACCTGCACTGGCACTCCTCTTCCTGGGGGACTCCCTGAGCTTGGCCTCAAACTCAGCAGCCCAGCCTGGGGCAGCACCAGGAATCCTACGTGAACACAACTAGGGAGTTCGGAGAGGCACTTTCCAGCCAAACTGTTACTCCTCTCCAGGCGGGAGGGAGACAAGAGCTCCGACTGCACGGCCGGCACTGGGCACTGACCTGAGGCACTGACCTGAGGCCCAGACCAGATGGAGCGCAGAGGGAAGGCGCCAACCTGAGGGGCCGGTTAAGAGAGCAGGCGGGAAGGCTCTGGACGGAGGCTGAGGGGCGAGGATGGGGAGCACGGCTGCGCAAGGGAGCTGAGCAAAGCCCACAATGCTCCCACAGCAGCAGAACAAGTCAGCAAAAGACACGGGATGGCAGTTCTGCCTCAGTGTCTGAAACATGAGGCGTCACGGCTGGGAGACGTGGTGCCCCAAAGCTTCCGTGTGCCGAGGCAGGGACGCTCACTGTGAAATGACTAGATTGAGACAGCCTGATCCGCCCAGTGGATTACCTGGGTGGTGGCCACAGGCAGGTGGGTGTGGCTGGAGGAGGCAGGTCACAGGGACGTGGCTGTGGGGCGCACATTTTGTTCCTGGCCAGCCTGGCTGAGCTGCTTTCCTCCTCACACCCTCACACCTTGATGTTTTGCCTCATCCGGGCCCAGAGTATGGGGTCGGCCACCTACCTCCTGAGCACCCAGGGCACTTCAGACCCTCAGAGTGCCCCTGCCAGGAGCGGGGAGAAGCTGCCTCGCAGGCAAGGGTGCTCCCACTTCAGGCAGCACCAACGAATAGGTGCCACTCCACGGCATGAGTGTCCCACCAGCCCTCGTGGGCACACAGCCTGGCTCTTGCACCACACCTCGTGTCCTTCTTCCTCCATGGAAGACCCAATGAGAACCCGAGGTCCAGGGTGAGCGCACTGCACCACCCCCAGCCAGCCCCTGCCTGTGGTCTCCGCTTGTTGGGAGGTTCCAGAATTTCCTCACTCTCAGTGTCCTCTTCTCTCTTTTGACACTGGACTTGGGTGCAGGGTGCTCTGCTGCTGAGACATGCAGCGGCCCTTTCTATTTTGAGACAGGCTGGCCTCGACTTGTGATCCTGTGGAGCTGGGGCTACAGGTACGTGTCACTGTCAACGGTCCCACAGTGTCTTTCAAGGGACCCCAAACAGTGCTCAGCAAACCATCAAGCATACACAACCAGGCAACGAAAGACAAGGGAGAAGGAACCCAGTGACCAGAGTGAGGCTGGAGGCAGGGCTTAAAGGGCAATGTCCCCAAGCAGCCAGGCTGGTGTGGCTCAGGGGCAGAGTGCACGGTAGAGCACACACACCAGTCGCAGAACCAGAAAGTTCTCAGTGGCGTCACCACCTGGTTCCTCAAAGACCATTAACAGCCTGGAAGCCACACTTGGTTTCCAAAGCTCTTCTCCATCGACAGGATGCTGCTCCCCACCCTGAGCTGAGCAAGGAAGGGGTCCATCAAGACCACCTCACAGGAGAGCTGTGAAAACAGCCTAAGACCAAGGGTCTCACAACATGACTCTTGGGGGAGGGACTGTCACGCAGGAGCAGTGCTGGCCCTGGGCACAAGCCGGGTCAGAGCAGTGGGAGTAGGGAGCCAGCCGACAGCTGAAGTCCAAGGGCTCCAATGGAGCAGGAACCGCGGCCAGGACGCACGACCTCCTGATGGAGGC